TTACTGCTGTATACTAAAAAAGCAATTCAACTTCTTGCTTGACTTCTGTATTTAGGAGTTTGTAGCTTATGCTCCCCTCCTATGGAGATGCTGCTTAACTTTTTCTGTTTATCATTTCACTGACAGGCAAACAGCAAGATGTCTGCAGCACAGAAGGCTCTGGCCAAAGTTGATAAGAGTGGAATGAAATCCATTTCTACTTTCTTCAGCTCCAAGCCTAAAGCATCAAAATAAAGACTTGTTCTTGAAAGAGTTTTATACAGTGGTTATTTTTATGTTAAGCTAAAGATGTCTCCTGGGTTTTTTTGTTAGTCTAGTATATGCAGGGCATGTCTGTCTACATGGTGGAGTGTGATGAAGAAGATCTGTGAGCTAGTGTGGGACAGAGCTGTTACCTCTCAGTGGGGCAAGGCAGTACCATGCAGATATTCCAGCCTAGGTCAGAAAGACAGTCTAGCTGCATTTGCATGGTCCTGTGAGTTGAGCAGCAAGGTTTAGCACAGTACCGTGCTGTACTGCTGCTTGTTCTAGAGCAAGCTCAGTCAAGGCCACCACAGAGTTTTCTCCATTGCGTTCCATTCTGGGCTGCAAACATGCCTTCCTTTGATGAGTTTTTAAGGAGAGATTTTTTTTTTGTTCACAAGGAGCATTATTTTTTGAGACTTTCTGGAGATTTTTACTCAGTACAACACCAGAGTAGGATGGCATCATCAGATTTTTATGTTAACCCAAATCTAAGTGCTGATGTCAGCATTGCTGTTGGTGGCAATTTGTTGAGGCAGAGATAGTGTCTATATTGAGATTGTGGTTCTTTTGAATATGATAAAACCAAATTGCAATAAATGTCAACGTGCATGTAATGCAATAAAGTGCTCTGTGTAACAAATCCGTGCTTGTTGTATTTGCTGTATGTTTCCAGGGTTAGATTAGGCTTCAGGACATTTCTTGAGGGATTTTGATATTGTGCTAGAACAGGTTGCCCAGAGAAGTTGTAGATGCCCCATCCCTGGAAGTGTTCAAGGCCAGATTGGATGAGGCTTAGAGCAACGTGATCTGGTGGAGGGTGCCCCCGCCTGTGGCGGGGAGATTGGGACTAGATGATCTTTAAGGTCCCTTCCAACCTAAACCATTCTATGATTCTATAATTTTCCTGTGTATAAATTTTAATTGTTAAAGAATTACAACATCACTTTGGGCTTACATGATATACCTCTTAACACATAGCAATATTGGGGTATTTTTATGTTCAGTTCCAAGATCAGCAGGTCCTTACAAAAATAATTAAGGAAAGATGTATTTAAAGGTAAAACTGGGACTTTTGAAGAAGCCTGTTTGGAGCTAGATGCATAATTCAAATGTTTAAGTATGAGTGCCCTGGATAAGATTTAGTTTTATGAAGTTTTGCGCTAGGTGGGACTGTTACTTAAAATGCACTACTTGCTCTTGGATGTGTTCTTTCCTCATAAATGTCCTGGGTTTGACTGGGACAGAATTACTTTTTCTTTTTAGCAGCTAGAAGAGCTCTGTGTTTTGATTTCAGACTGGGATTCGTTAGGAGGGGAGTGTCGATGACGCACTGATGTTTATAGTTGGTACTGAGGCAGCAAGGACTTCTCAGCTTGTTGTGTTTTGCCAGTGTGCAGGAGCACAACAGGCTGGGGGGGAGCATAGCCAGGACAAAGGATCCACAGCTCCCCTTATGATTTGAATTTAGACTTAGGATTGAGGGCTAAATTGGCCAATGAAGTGTTCCATATCACGCAATGTCATGCCCAGTATATAGATGAGGGTTGATCAGGAAGAAGCTTTTTTTCTTCCAGGAACTCTATTGTGAGGGCTCTCTCGGAGTGCTGTGTCTCTCTCGCTCTCTTTTCAGGCCTCTCAGTCATCCAGGATTGTGGTGTCAGGACTTGACTGTTTCATAATCTCACACCAGATGGTGAGAAATTACTCTCTGCATTGCTTGTTTGTATATATTATCATCATTAAATAATATACATTTGTATCTTACCGTTATTACTTTAATTTTTATTATTATTATTACATTGTACTTATGTCAACCCATGAGTTTCCTTCCTTTTCCCTTTTAATTCTCTTGCCCATTCCCCAGGGGGTGGGAGAAGGTGAGCGAGAGGCTATGTGGCATTTAGTTGCTGGCTAGGCTAAACCATGACAATAGAGCATTCCTGTATATCCAGAGGGATAGCTGCTATGTTGCAACTTTCCTGATTCATGGAATTGAAAAAGAGGTGGAGTCACTGGGATCTGTTGACAACTTGATCTTGCTGCTGTTGACAACCTGTAGATTGCAGTGATGTCTGTTAGGTTAAAGAGCTCTGTGGCATTCTCTTCCAACCGGAAATGAATGAGAAGCCTTGCTGTGTGTTGCGTCCGGTTTTGCAATTGTTGTTGAGGTTTGTATGCCTTTCAAACCAGCGTTTTTTTCAAAGTTTGGAGCATAGTTTGTAAATGGGGAAGTCAGTATGGTTGGAATTCCAGATAGAGGAAAGTACTTGGAAATCTATGGAATTTATTATCTCTGATTACAGAGAGATTTATTTAACAAATTTGGATGGCCTCTCAATAGCTTACAGTTAATGTTCCCAGTTCTAAAAATGTTTGTCTGAAGTGGATTATCTAGAACCCAAATGAAGTTCCTTAGAAAAAAATGCTCCAGGCATTCCTAATCACTGCTGTAAGTCTTCCTTATCTCTGAAAATCACCCTGTAGTACTAGTATTTGAACGTAGGTTGAGAAGCGTGCGATTCAGATGGAGAGACTGTTGATATTTCAGTTAGAATCATTATCCCAAGCCATTTGGTGCTTGAATAAAATTCCAGTCACGAATGCTAACTTTCTGAAACAATGTAAGGGGGTGGGGAGTGGTAGGGAACACAAAAAAACCCTAAGAATTAGTACATGGAGCCATAGAGAAGTTCCTGTTATACCACAGTGCCTTGTTGTTCAGCTGTCTGTAGCAGAATTTCACCAGCCATATCAATAAAGCTTCCTTTTCTGACGTTAACTGTCAGACGAGTTTAAAAATTAATAGTAGGTGTCTGTGACAATTCCTATGCGCAGCACCTTTAGAACTGCCATCTTGCTTTTTTCCTACCTTAACTTGTCTAGGCTGTAAGTGAAGACCAGCCCTGTAGCAGCATGTATTGATTTACCCAATGGATCTTTGGTATGATTTTGAAAAACATTCAGCTTAGCCCAGCAGTTTGTTTGACAGTCAAAGAAACCCCCCAACTTCAAATAAGTAGGAAAAGGAATGCACCAGTGATGATGACTTTTGGAAACCACCACTCAAAAGTGCAGGATAATGTTATAGAAAAAAAAAAAAAAAGATAAAAACAACAGGCACATACTGTCCTGTCAATGGAGAAGCTTTGGCTGAAAGAGTTGGGGCTGTTCAGCCTGGAGAAGAGGAGGCTCCGGGGTGACCTTATAGCGGTCTTCCAGTACCTCAAGGGGGCCTACAAGAAAGATGGGGAGAGGCTGTTCAGGAGGTCCTGTTGTGATAGGACAAGGCGTAATGGTTTTAAAATAGAGGGAGGTAGATTCAGATTGGATATTAGGAAAAAATTTTTTACCATGAGAGTGGTAGAACACTGGAACAGGTTGCCCAGAGAGGTGGTGGATGCTCCATCCCTGGAGACATTCAAGGCCAGGTTGGACGAGGCCCTGAGCAACCTGATCTAGTTGGAGATATCCCTGTTCCTTGCAGGGGGGTTGGACTAGATGACCTTTGAAGGTCCCTTCCAGCCCTAACGATTCTATGATTCTATGATTCTTTGTGCAGTAAGCAACATCTTAGGGAGTATTTTGGTAAATGAGAGGAAAGGAGTTGTGCATCTATTAAGGGAAAGCCAACTCCAAGCACTAGAAGACGTTGAGAAGACTAACAAGCATGGGGTGAATGTTTGAGTGGAAAACCAAGAGTGAGTTACATTAGAAACAGGAACTATGAGGTAGGACAGATACATGGCAGAAGCTCTTCTGGATATTTAAATCTGCTAGCTGTAGGGGTTTGGTTTTTAATAGTTCGAAAGTTTTGTGAAATAAATTTTGGAAATGTATCTTTTCATCAACTGAACAGTTCAAGAATCTTCAAAGCAAAAGTCCGAGTTTCTCTGGTGAGAATTTAGGACAGAAGGGGGACAATTCCGATAAGAGACGAGAGGGCTTTGTGCTGACTTCTATGTGGGGTACCAGTTTATTTCTCTGTACATGACTTTTGCATCTGCTGCTACACTCAAGGATTAAATCTGGAGTTCTTCCTCTCTGCGTAGATGCGTTGTGCTTTAGTGTGTCACATCTCGACTTCAGCTGTCAGCTATGCCGTAACTTACAACAATAGTAATTTTACTAGTGACTGTGCTTTTGGTTGAACGGGAATTTGTATATGGCCAAAAAAAAATAAGCTATTTCCAAAAGCCATTAGAGCTTTCACGTGAAAACAAAAACTCTTTTCCCTTTAGGAAAGAATGAAATACATTTAGTAACTTTGAAACTTCCTCAACATGTAGCTTTAAGAAGTTATGAAGAGCATTTGGTGCCAAATACATAAAACAATATTTCCTACCACAATGAGGGTTTAAATATAGTTACTATGCCTGGCCAGCAGTAGCAGTAGGTCATTATGAAGTGCTGCTTTGCTATTTCTTTCTTGGTTAGCTTAGTATGAAACAATATGCCTGCACCATTGTAGAAACGTGGCCTTACTGTATTTCTTTTTGGCATTAACATACCATCTCTACATGTTCATGTAAATATCTGATGAGTTGTGATGCTTTTGTAGTTGTTGTTTTGGGATTAAGCACCTCTTAACGTTTCCACGTTTTTAGACATTTGCGAATGGACTGACATCAGTGGGCATGGAAGCCTTCATGTGGAAATACCAGCACTGGCTTAGGGATATGTAAGGGTTGAACTTACACATCATTTTCAGTCTTAAGTAATAAACTTAGTTCTATTTGTAGAAGTGGCAATTGGTGATTTGAGTATTTTCAGTGGAAAAGGCGGCATAGTTGGCAGAATTCGCATTCAGATCTGGAGTTCAGAAGAGTTTGGTGGTGCTTGTTTTCAGGTGTTGGTTGCATGACTTGATGCTTTTTAGAGGGAAACTAAATGCACGGATGCTTATTTGAATACATTAACATTTATGACTAGGGTTTTCTCTTTCGTTTTCAGATGCCTGCAAAAAGACATGCAAAGAAGAAATGAAAGGAGCATAAGGAGACTCGCTAATATTATTTTAACTTGCCATAATCTCAAAGCAGCTTTTAAAGGCTTTTTTTACGCACTTTCTGAAAATAAATGCTTGAAGTTAGACATGCCTTGTTCCAAGAAA